CATTGAGGAAGATGCGCTAAAGCCTTGCACTCCAACGGTGTATTTGCAGAGCAGATAGCTAATGTCAGGCCCAGGTTCTGTACACAAAGCACTGATAACAGCCAGGCTGCTTGTTCAAAGTCAGTCTTTTGTTTCAGCTCTTCTGTAAATGTAGCTCAGCCTCCATCCATGCAACAGAATTTCAGCTGCTGTGTGTGCGCTGAGCTTCCGAAGCGGCTTCAGTGCTTTATTCTACAGCCAAGGTCAAAATCAAGTGGATTAAAATGGCTGGAGGCAAAGTTGTTTCTCAGAATGCCTGTTACTGTAAAATGCTTGGATTGCCACTGGTTTAGGATAAACTCTTTTTCTGTTTGTGGTAGGAAGGAGCAAGAATCAAGAAGTTGAAGGAAAACACACTTGACTGATGTTATTACTCCTAGTTAAAGGCTCTAAAGTTTTCGAATTTCACAGGGGGGCTGTTTTCATGGGGGAGAATTGTTAATGGTAAAGGGAGGAGGAATCTTGCAGCATATCCAGCAAATTCAAACAATAATGGGAAACTGGAATTCAAGTACCCTCTTCCCTTCCAAATAGTCCTGGATGTTCTGATCATCTTTACAGTCTACTCTTAAAAGTTTTGCTGTCAAAACCCCTATAGTGTAGATAGATGCAGCTTATACAGGCAAAAAGAAATGCTTTTGCCCTTATAGTTTATATCAATTCAGCCAGCCAAGTTAGCTCTGCCGCCAAAAGCACATTTATGGGCAGCTTTTCTCAAATGCGGTCACCAGGGGATTTTTCTGCGGCCACAACAGCCTCCTGGGTGGAGATTGGGCGGGGACGGGGGGCAAAGGAGTAGCCCCTCCCTGCAGCACCCAGCTGTTGCTCCTGGCTGCCCTGCCATTTGTTGGCACCGCCAGCAGGGGATCAGCGGCCCTGCACCACGCAGCCTCCTGGGGGCTCCGGGCAGCGCCTCTGCAGACATGTGGGGCCAGTGTGTGTTCAGCAGGCTTCAGGCTTCAGCCCCTGGGCCCTAGCTCTGGGCTTCAGCCCAGGGCGGTGGGGCTTGGGGTTGGAAAAATTGTCAGAGTGGCCGCGCTCTGAGGCCACCAAAAAAAATTGTTCAGTGAATCCCTGCTAGGTAGGGGCTTGCGCATCAGGGGGCAAGCAGGGGCACAGACCCCCCCGCCCCCCAATCAGCAGGGGCACAGAACTCCTCTGGCACCGGGGTGGGGAGAGCGAGCTCCACTGGCCCTGGGGCGGGACAGGGGGTGAAGAGCAAGCGCCACTGCCTGGGGGGGGAGGAGGGGGGCCAGCCTCTCCAGTCATGGAGAGCACAAAGTGCCCCTCCAAAAGCGACCAAATTTTTATTCTTGTGCATGCCCCTAATACTAGGGCATTTGCCTGGATAGAAATGTCAGAGAAAATCACCCCTAACCAGCCTGGCTATAGCAGCGAAAGTTCCTGGTGTAGACCTGTATCAGAGGGGTAGCCGTGTTAGTCTGGATCTGTAAAAAGCAACAAAGAGTCCTGTGGCACCTTCTAGACTAACAGACGTATTGGAGCGTAAGCTTTCGTGGGTGAATACCCATGTCATGCGTCTGATGAAGTGGGTATTCACCCACGAAAGCTTATGCTCCAATACGTCTGTTAGTCTATAAGGTGCCACAGGACTCTTTGTCGCTAGTGTAGACCTGGCATTAGACTTTACTCTGGTGCTTCTGAGTTTTGCCAGCAAGTTCCTTGTAACTCTAGAAGGCACTGCTTTGCCTTTATGTAAGATGGGGGGGCAGTTTTTTGCTTCCTTCTCATGGAAAACACCTAAATTGCAATTTCACCATAAGATCCACTGAATTAAATGGTGTTCTCCAGAGAGAATCTCATAGCATGTTATCACTTCAAGAAATGCTAAGATGCTTGTGTAAACAAAGAAAATCTTCCTTCCATTGAGTTTAGCTGTGGAAGATCTCTCCTATTTAAGTTATAGATAGCTGAAGTTTTCAATGTGGCCCTTCTGCATCCTAGCTAGCTCCTATAATAATATCTTGTAGCGCTCTTCTTCAGTAGATCTCAAAGCACTTTACAAAGGAAGTATCGTCCCCATTTTATAGATGGGGAAACTGAGGCACGGAAGGGGCGATGCGTCTTGACCAAGGTCAGTCAGCCAGTGGAAGAGATGAGAATAGAACCCAACTCTTTTGAGTCCTAGTTCAGAGCTCTATCCACTTGGCCACACTGCCTCCGTTGATCACTGCTTTATTGGCAAGGGTTAATTCTAGAGCAAAGAGCTCCAGCATGATTGCAAGAAACAGCATGTATGTAAGGTGAGGTGCAACACACTAGCCCCTTGTGGCAGCTCTGGAACTGCTTCATACAGCCAGTGGAATTAGTCTGTCTGCAAGATGTAGAGCTTCCTGAATCTCCATCATCTTCCTCCTCCCCCTCATACCCCAAGACACTTATATAGCAGTAGAACCTCTCTGAGCCACAAACTTGCATATTGTCCTAACCAGCAGCCTTGCCCCACTTCTCAGTAAAGATGTTACAGCAGAGTGGTGGTGTGAGCTTACTGGAAAGGTTACGCATGTTACTGGAGCTCTACACAAGATGTACTATGAGGGGGAAAAACAGTTGCTAGCATGCAGTGAACTGTTAGGATAAATTGTAAACAACATTTGTCAAAATAAATCAACCAGCTACATCTTGTAATCAACTATCCTTGTTTTTAATCACGTTTGTTTGTTTTAAAGTGCATTAATTTTCAGAGGGTTTCCCAATCAGTAGTCTGAGTTAGTGTTGTTCATTGCTCAATGTATACACAGTAGTTACTGCCCTAAGGGACTAGCGGTTCTCAGCCAGGGGTCTGGGGCCCCCTGGGGGGGGGCCATGAGCAGGTTTCAGGGGATCTGCCAAGCAGGGATGGCATTAGACTTTCTGGGGCCCATAACAGAAAGCCGAAGGCCCGCTGCATGGGGCTGTAGCCCGGGGCCCCGAACCCTGCCACCCGGGGCTGAAGTTGAAGCCTGAGCAACTTAACTTTACAAGGCCCTCTGTGACATGGGGCCCTGGGCAGTTGCCCTGCTTGCTACCCACTAATGCTGGTCCTGGTTTTTATATGCAGAAAACCAGTTGTTGTGGCATAAGTGGGCCGTGGAGTTTTTATAGCATGTTGGGAGGGCTCAGGTTGAGAACCCCCCTGATTTAGGGTATGCCTGCACTGCAGCTAAGCCCAGGCTCTGATTCAGGTTGAGCCCAAGCCCTCCTTTCGTCCGCACACACACATCAGTCTAACTCATGTCAGCAAGCACTCAGGACCCTGCTAGGGCTTCGGGCTCTAATCCACCCCCCTATTGTTTTGCATTGTGGATGCAGCTCAAGCTGTAGACCCAAGTCAGAATGTCTGTGTAGTGCAGTATGGACACACATTAGCATGGCTGTGATACCCTGGTCCAGCAATTGTAAACCCAGGTGTACAATGCAATGAGGATGCTCAAGCATCGGCTTTGAAACATTGATCCACAAGCCTAGATCCCACTGATCTGGATTTACAATGCAGTGTAGACACACCTTTAAGGGCTTGTCTACTCATGGACATTCAGGAAAGAAATTCACACCTTTAGTTGATTTGGAATTAAAAGTGCATTAGTTACAGCACATTAATCCCTGGGTGGACACTCATTCAGAATTTAAGTGGCCTTAATTTGGTTTTGTTCACTAGTGAATTAAGGTAAATTGAGAAAAGGTCACTTAAATTCTGAATGAGTGTGTCCTCTCAGGGATTTAATACAGTTTAACAAATCCACTTTAAATTCACCCAGTTAGTTAATTCATATTAATTTTCCTTTGTCCCCAAGTAAACAAGTCCTCTCTCTACCATTTGCTAACAGGAAGAAACTGTTAGTCAAAAAAAGGAAGAACAAAACTAAAGCAGGAATTGGGTTTTGTCAGCATGTAGATAACAGTGGGAAAATAAGAGTTGAACAACAAGAGCAGCAACCATAGCACATGGGGTTACAGTTGAGAAAACAATAGACAAACTGAAATAAAACTGAATGCTTTTATTACATTTTTTGTTTTGTTTTGATTCTTTCTATCAGGTGGCAACAGTTTGTGTCAAGGACAAGATTTTCTTGACCCTTGTGAATAGGGGCTAATGCACAGGCTTGGAATCCATGTTTTTTGTTGTTGTGTTTTTTGTTTGTTAGTAAAGGTGTTATAGTTTAATATATAAATTACGTATGAGCTTCCCAGATCAGGGTCAAGGACCCATCTGATTTGACCACATAGCTTGTTCTTTTACCCCCCTCTCGTGCCCCCGGTCTTGTTCTCAAATATTCGCTAGTTCTTCAGGGCATCTCATTAACTTGGAGGTCTGAGATTCCTCCACCTACCACTTCTCAGAAGAGAGCGTATAAACTGCTTTTTAAAACTTGACTGACTTAAGGAGAGAAGGCTTTGTCACATCACTTTCCGCACAAGGCCTCCCAGTCCGCTACAGTTGCTATTTTTTACCGTCTCTAGCTAGACTTTCTTGATGGAAGAATCCCCCAAGGACATAAATCTAGAGTCTTGTTTGTAATAGCTCCAGTGACCCACTAAAAACTGGAATTACCCCACTCCATTCAAGAAAACCAAATTCTCTTGCACAGTAAGATCGGGTGACCTGGACAAACAGGAACATAGAACACGGGACTAAGAGCTGATCAGTTGCTACTGATTTGGGTGTTTCGTTGACCTTCAGAACCCTCGTGCCACTGGTAACTTATGCAAGCATTGAGTAGAAAATGATTCACTAAATCTTTTTGAGACAAGGAAGAGTGTGCTCCTGAATCTCTTTCTGAACCCTCCTCTTTTGTCCCATGCCAAAAATTCCTCTCTCCCAATATTGACATAAACACAATTGTAACTCTTTCTTGTGGTGGGAGAAGGGAGGGGAAAGGACTTTGCTTGTTACATATGGTGGTGTTTTGATGTGACATTCTTTTGCTGACACTGTACTCTGTTTGCATTGTGCCCTACAGGTGTGGGGGTACAGTTGGTGCCATTGTTACATGTCCTTTAGAAGTAATAAAGACCAGGCTCCAGTCTTCAAGGCTAGCGTTCCGGACTGTCTACTATCCTCAAGTCCAGTTGGGGACGATCAGTGGGGAAGGAATGGTCAGGCCGACATCTGTATCACCTGGACTTCTCCGGGTTCTAAAGTGAGTACAGCTCTTGTCATTCATAGCATCCTGTGCAACCAATGGACTTGACTCTGATTTCGTTGGCACTGGTTTTACACTTGAATGGTGTCATTCTGGATTCACACTGGTGTGAGGTGGGAATTGGGCCTTATGTATTCAGCATCAACTGAAAAGTTGAATTAACCTTTGCTTCCACAAGATGTATTTTTACCTTTGAATTTTCAAAGGAACTTATTTAAAACCGCACTGAGAAGTTTTCCAAAGAGTATTGGTTTGGATAAGTGTCTGGAGGTATTATTTTTAAATAGACTTATTGGCTCTAAGCTTTCCGGTAAGTATTAAGCCTCAAGGATCAAGAGTCGGTAGTATTCTCCTGCCAGGTGATATGTATGTCAGCTTGCAGGAGCAGTATTAAAAATATGCCTTTCCTCCGTAGCATTCCCTATAGCTCAGAACATGTGGTTTCTTGCCCTGTTCATTCTTTTGGATTTCTCGTGTTTCTCAGTCTTTCGCACCTGAGCAGTGTGATGGGCAAGTCCTGCTGGCTAGGCCCCTGACTTGGCAGTGTGACTGAAAGACTGAGTGAGCCACGGAGACAGAACTCCTCCCTCATCTCTGGAGCCAGTGTCAGTCCTAGTTCAGAGTCAGAGCAGCATGGGAGAAAAACCTTTCATTGCAGCTACTCTGTGCTGTGTACCTGTTCTGGGGATCGTGGGCTCCAAGACTGTCACTCTAACTGGGGTCTGCCCCACCCCTGTTTCAGGGAGTCGGTCCCTTTTGTTTTGATGGGCTGTACCCACCTTTCTAAGGTTTTGTAGGCCTCCCTCCCGCCTGTGTGGGTGGGTGTTCAGTTGCTTTGATGGGCAGAATCCATCCATCAAATAGGCTGGGGCCTTGGCCTAAAACTCACTTTAAAAAAAAACAACAACAAAAAAACCCCAAGAGCCCATCAAGTGGTGAAGAAGGGAAGAGTGTAAAGGCCATAGCGTGTGGTGCCTTGCATTGCTCGACTGGCACGGTGTTTTAGAGTATTAGGCTGCAGTTGTTTAATAATATTGGAATGGTCCAAACTAACCTCTGACCCCCTTTATGCTGGAGGGTGAAGGGGTGTGTAACATGCCGCTGCTCTGGGTTTGCAGGCAGTAGCGCAGTGGTGTACGCTTGGGATTGCTTTTCAAAGCAATCTATCCCTGTCTTTCTTTTAAGGCTTAGATTCTGCCAAAAACTGCAGAATTGGCAGCTTCAAGACTGAGCTTTTCCAGTGGCGCCCCGGCTGCCAGGTATCCTTTTCCCAGCCTCTTTGAAACAATAGATTGATAAAACTAACAATCCATTTTATACATTCAGAACAAGCTTCCTATCTTTCACGTTTGCCACATCATTCATGCACATCCCCCTTCTTACATTCCCAGCTACGTGCTTCAAATTAGATGAGACTTGGTTTCTGTCCAAGAACCTGAACTGATGCAAACAGGATCCAAATGATGTAATCTTGGCTCAATACCTGGGGGTTGGAAGGTCTAGGGTGATCTTTTGAATTTGGAGGTCTTTCTGGTACAGGTAGGATGCTGGTGAATGCGTGTAAATGAGGGCTTCTCTGCACTGTTGTTATGAAAGGTGCTGATTGTGACATTCCATCCTGGAACTCATGGGGGAGGAGAAGGAAAAGGAAGGAGACAGCATCTTTCACAAAAGCAGTCCAGCTAGAAAACACAGCATGAACAGTCCTCAGACAGCCCTATTCTTTCCTCCTCTTGTGCTATTTCTGACTGAGTGAGCAGTCTTCTGTCTGCTACTAATGTGTGGTTTCAGCCAGTGCACGTTACATGGTCATTCCCATATAAATCCTCAGCTGGGAGTTGGAACTCCCCCTGCATGTCCCTGTTGGAAAATTTCCAATGTTTGTCAGATGCCTCTGCAGACTGGTAGGAGTAGCAGTTTGTTCAGCCTAATCTTTTCGTGACATACATTCAACAAAAGAAGATTGGATCTAAGGCAAGCCAGTGCTCCCAAGCGAACGGTTTTGTATAGCCTAACCAATAACCCTGAGGCCCAGGCCTAGGTCTCTGCTGCTGCATTTCTGAAGAAAGCAAAGTCCAAGTCTAATCTGCACCAAGTTTGTGGATCTTTGCAAATAAATATTTGCATTTTATTTTAGTGCCATGATTTTTTGTTTACATCAGGCATTTTGGTGCACCCCCCCCCCCCCCCAAAAAAGCCCAGCAAAATACGTTGGTTGATTTATGTAATACTGATAAATTTGGCACATTGCCCAGTGAAGCTGCATGAATTACATAACAATACAGTGGCAATCAAGTCCTCTGCAGAACTGTGTGGCTTGCGTCACATCACTGCTTGAATCTTGTATTCTAGATAAGCAATTCTTCTCCCCCACCCCATCCTCCAAATGCCAAGACTCCCTTTATAATATTTTTTGTCAGATTGCTGAGTCTAGAGCAGTACACGATGCAAAACCAAGGTAACCGGAGCAAATCAGTGCATTTTGGATGCATCTAATTCCCCTCCCTCCTGCGACACAAAGCAATCCTGATTAAAAGGGAGTCCAATAAAATCATTTCAAGGTAGCCAGCTCTCCTGATAGTATTCACCCACTCTCATTTTCAGGGTTGTTCTTTGTGGGGAGATAGGAAGTTGGATAAAACTGGGTCAGCCTTTTACCATCCTTATCGACTCATTAAAGTCAGTGTTTATGGTCTTGATTCATTTGATCTCGTTTCATTTCAGCAATTGCTCAAACTCGGTCACTTGCCTGGCTCCTTTTCCAGATGTCTGAAGCAATCTTGCAACTCGATCGTACTGTTTGTCTTTCACAGACAATAAATTCTTCAGTGTCTATAATGATTGATTTTCATGTAGGACCTCAGTGCACTCTCCTAAAGCGACCGTGTACACTTGCCGCTGGCTCCCCTTTCCCAGTTTGGTGAAATCAGACCCCCTTGATGCTGCAGTTAACCACGACTTTGTGTAAATGGGCACATTCTCCAAGGAAAGTGTAAACGCCTTGCATGCTGCCACTTCCACCAAAGAAAGTTTTCAGAGACCACATTTGAAGCGCGTTTCTTATAAATAGGAGGAGTGCACTTTCCTTCCAAGACTAATTGCCTTCTCTAGAGCAATATTGGATGAAGGAGTATAGAGGGAGCATGGACTTGTTCAGCATTTTTCTTAGTTATATCGTTGGAGTCACACTGTTCAGAACCTGATTCTTCATGATTAAGGCTACGTTGAGGTCACAGAAGTCACAGATTCTGTGACTTCCAGAGACCTCCATGACATTCTCTGTTTCAGCCCCAGGGGCCTCGGGACTGGAACTGGCAGCCAGCGGCACCCAGGCAGGGTTCCAGCAACAGGTGACAGCAGTGACGGGGGGCCCCCTGCAAGGTTCCAGCAACAGGCGACTGCCTCCTGACGGGGCCCTCCTCAGGGTTCCAGCGACGGGTGACCTCCTTGTATGGAGGGGTGAGGAGGGGAGGGGCCCGCCTTGGGCAAGCGGTTGGGGGTGTCCCATTTTCTTTTTGGGAAATATGGTCATCCTGCAGCTCCCAAAGCAGGATGAAGAGCAAATTGGGTCTTTTGCATTAATTCCTTCTGCCCTTCTCTCCTGAAACTGCTGAGCTGGGGGTGGGTGAACTAGGTGTTTTGAGGGGTATCAGTAATTCCACTGAAAGGGAAAAAGCCTCCAGAGGCCTCTCTGGAAAATTGCTCCCAGGGAGTTGTGTATTGGCTATGAAAACACTGATTGTTAGAGCTAGAAAGAAAATAAATGCCCTGGACAGACCGGGTTAAACTTGCCTGTGGAACCTTTCAGAATGGAAAATGCTCCCAGAAGGGCAAGCTGCTTGTGTGTAAACCAGATTTTGGTGAGTCACCTCAGCTGGAAGCCACAGTCGTGACTATTAAAGTGACAAAGAACAAGCAATCCCTGGATCTGTTTCCTAGGAGACACTTAGCCTCGGAGTTTACACAGAATATTCGGCTCTGCTTTGGGGATGCGTTTCAGAAGCTTTCTAATGAGCTTGTTTTTGGGCTCTGCGGCAAACGTTGCCAGCAGCATTAATGACCTGGAAAGTAAACTTTGCAAAATGGGAGACTCCAACCAAAAGAATGGGCATGTGTGAAGGACCTTTGGAAGCAGGAGCTGTTTGAATTTCCTCGCATGTTTTTCACATAAAGATTTTTTTAATAGAAGGGCTGCTACTGCCTCGCAGGTCACTGTACTAAAATCCAAAGCAGCTCCATGGCAATGTAGGTGGCTTTTGCTGATGGGTGAAATATGATCCATGGATACCTACTAGGGCTCAACCATTATTTTCTTTCTTGTAAATGTCCCTCTGTGCCAAGGCTTCTTGCTTGGAATCAAACTCTCCACTAGGGACGCTTTTGAGCCAGACTTGTACAAAACTTGCAGGGTCCCCAGGGGGCCATCCAAATCATTTACCCTTTTTTATATTGGTGCCAGCTCATCTCACCCATTTGGGTTTAAACCATGGGAGGGAAAAATGACACTCAGGGTCAAGAATTTGGACTGATCTTCAGCAGTGTTGCCAACTCTCACTATATTTGGTGTCTGTCTTAAAGCTCCAGCTCTTAGAGTCTAGTGATTGTGACAATCTCAGCTTTCATTTTAGAAAAATACATTTCTGGCCATCATAATTGCAAAGAAAAGCTTGAAAACGTGATCCAGGTGTAACCTAAAGGTTCAAAACCCAGAAGGCAAAGAAAATGAATCCCAACATTATTTTTTTAAATCTCATGAGTTTTAAGGCAAACTTAAGCTCTGCAATATCAAACGCATGATTTTTTTCAATGCTCGGAATTGACAATACTGGAACTGCAGTGTTCTGTGCTTCCGCTTAGGAGGCCTAAACCAGAGTGTGTAATGCCTGGTCAGACTAGACTCCTAGCTGCATAATAGGGGTTATGTGCTTCCCCTTGGAAGGAGGAATGTGTAGGTTCCTCCTTCTGGAAACTAGTCCTTACCCTCCCCCCATGCTCAGACCATGTGTTCTTCTCCTGTTCCTCTTTGTCCCCCCAAAATATTCTCACGGTCATCCAAAAAGAGCGTGTGTGGCAGTTCCACTATAGTCTGTATCTCCCCATTCCTCCCATTTGGGGAAAACTGCATGGTTCTCTGATTTTCACGGGGACCGGGCTACCCCTGCGTCGGTGACTCCGGACTAGGAAAGGTTCCAAAGCTCAGTCTCACTCCCACCACAGAGGGGGTAGGGAACACAGCCTCCTATGCTCATTAGCCCCCACTGGTGACCCATTTGAAGGGGTGGGGTGCACCGTTTAGCAAGGCCTCTCAACCCCACACACCTTTGCTTCTCAATGAAATCTCCACTTCCCCACAAAAGCAACCCCCTGAAGGAATAGCTGTGAGAGAATGAACGCTTTTTTTGTCTTTCAGAACTGAGTTATTTTGTGATCTCCATTAACTTTTTTAATAACCCAGTTCCCAATAGCTTTCAAGCAATTGAGCTATTAAGCTGCTCTCATATGACACAAATGCAGATTTGTCTGTAATACCCCTAAGATCTATTGCATTAGCTTGTTTTTTCAAGCCAATAGCTAAATCAGCCAGCTTTCTGCCAAAGAGCACAGCCTGATAGCTAATAGGTTAGTTTTTTATCTGTTATCTTTTACCACAGTTCTCCTGATTTGTGACTGATGGTTATTGTCTACCAGGAGAGGTAGTCAGCGATCTTGCATTTTTATTTTTTTAGGTCAATTTTGGAGAAAGAAGGACCAAAGTCACTCTTCCGAGGATTGGGTCCAAACTTGGTTGGAGTGGCGCCATCAAGGTAAAGATCTTAAAGGGTTCAGTTCATATTAAAAAAAAAAAAAAATCTTCATTTTAAGGCTGTGGCACAAAGATTGTACTATGCATATTATAAATGCTCTGTTTTTATTAAACAAGTTTAAAACAATGCCCAAATGGTTCATTTATGAACTAACTGCTGGCCAGTGATAAGAGCACATAGTCTAGTAGACAGGAGACCTGAGTTCTAATTCCAGCTCTGTCACAGATGTACTCAATGATTCGGGACAAGTTGCTTAACTTCTGTATACCTTAGTTACCCCATCTGTGAAATGGGGCTACTGAAGCTCTTTCCTTTTTGTAAAGGAGTTGCAGATCTATAGATGATAAAAGTGCCATGCAAGTGTGACGCAAATAAATATATTAAATTCAAGCCATTATTTTTGAGGTGTGCAAATCAAAGCTGAGTATGAATTAATCTTATTTAGTACTTGCCTAGCACTTTTCAACTCCTTTTCGGTTTCCTTCTCCTTCTCCCTGGGAAAAGGTGTACCAGCAGACTGAAAGCAAGTGCCTCTGTTTACAGCGCCTAAAAATCTGGCTTTCTCTGGCATTTTTATTGGCTTCTGTACATTTTGTTTCTCTGTGTGTGTATCCAGGCTGCTCCTTATGATCTTTGCTTTTCATTATCAGTTTCACACACTGTTTTCACATAACTGATCTGCAAAGAAGGAGCTTGAGATTGGTGGAGTATTGCATAAAAAGAGGGGTTTCTGTTAGTACAAGACAGTCCATTTTTTTTTTTTTAAAGTATGTAGACTGAACCAGGTATTTAAATGAATATGAAGAATAGGTGACTCGCTGGGCATAGACTGGGAAAATAGAAATATGGGGGTGCAAAAAATCTGCAGACTCGCATTAACACATTATCTAGCACTGCCCTGGGAGTATCTGAAAGTACTGTTTAAATATGGAGTAAGTTTCACGGCACCCCCAGGAAGATGGCATCTAGGGAAACGGGTGCAGATTGGTTAAGCAACTTACCCAGAGTCACTCAGTGTGCTAGTGGCAGAGCTGGGGTTAGCCACCTAGCAGCTGGGAGCACTCTTCTCAAGCCAGGTAGCCAGACATGCGCTAGCTCTGCTCAAGCGAATGCGCTTAAAAATAGCGGTGAGGTTAGCCAGCCCGGTACAAACCCATCTGACCTTTATGGGTCCAAACTCGGGTGGCTTAGCAGCATGGATGTTGCGGCATGGGCTATTTTTAGCACAGTAGCTCGAGCAGAACTAGTGCATGTCTGTCTCCCTGGGCAGGGGAAGACATTCCCAGGTGCAGTGTAGACATACCCCCTGACTCCTCAGTCCTGTGCTCTGTGTGCGAGACTACGCTACTTCCCATTCAGGATTTAATTGGCCAACCTCACAAGGCCTAGGCTCAACTTGATGGCATTTTGTCTATGTATGTAATGCAGTAACTGTTCGATGCTGCATCTGATCAATTGCAAAACTTCTATTTGGGGGGAAATTGGAAAACCAAAAGGAGGAAAACGAGGGGCGTGGGGAGCCCTGACTATCTGTTTAAACTAGCCACAGCTTCAAGCACCTCTGCACTGATCTACAGATAAAACTGATCAATGGCCCCATTAACGCTTTCCAGGATAGCAATACCTGTATTTCATCTGTGTTGATACCCTGAATGATTTATCTCCCAGACAGAAAGACCGAAAAGAAAGCGGGGGAGAGAATCAGGCATGCACAGAGCCCTGGCATGGGGGGAAAGAATGGGACCCTTGCAAAGGGGAAATGGGGAGCACACAACACCTGGTGGAGGGGAAATTGGGGGATCCTAGTTTGGAGGGATAGGGGTGTACACAGAGCCCCTGCCATGGGGAGGTGACACTCTGAACCCCTGGTGGTGGGGAGGGGGGAGTGGGAGGAATGGGGGGTAGAGACTCTGGCAAGGGAGGAATGGGGGGGACCCTTGGAGCCCCTGGTGGCAGGGGGGAGATTGAGAGGGAGGAATGAGGGGCAGGCAGAGCCACTGGCATTGAGGTGAAAGAAGGACATGGGCGTTAGAGCCGTACACGTAAGGGAGCAGTGGAGAAGTTGCAGGGAGTCCCTGAAATAGAGTGGGTGGAATGGAGGAATGCAAGGAGTCCCTGATGTGCACGGTGAGCTTGGCTCACAGAAGCTATGAATTGCACGATGCCCTAGTGGCTGTACAGGCAGGCGTCCTGGTGTACGTTGGCAGGCTGAGTCTTTGCAGATGGAAACAATAATGTTGAGGCCCTTCTAAGATCTACCTCGTTGGTCTGGACTATGGGAGGAAAGCAGTGACTGGTTTGAATTGCATGTTTGTAGATTATCCTCTGTAGCGAGTTCTTCTCTTTTTCCTGGCACAGGGCGGTCTACTTTGCATGCTACTCCAAAGCCAAGAAGCGATTTAATGGCATTTTTGTGCCCAACAGCAACATTGTGCACATTTGCTCAGCAGGCTCTGCAGGTATGTTATCGCATGGAGGGTGTCCCTTTGTCTCCCAGGCTATCTTGCCATAGTACAAATGTGCCCAGCCATTCTGCTTCCAGAAACTGGTTACCTGTGTCGCTCCTACTTCAGAATCAATCACGCACCATTTCCACTCCACTCCCAAGAACCTCTTTATAGAGGGCAATGAAGAAGTTTTATTTATCAGATCCTTAATTCTTTCAACATGGTACTCTGTATGGTATAGGTGCCATCTAGGGCTGCCTCAAGCACATTTCCCAGCTAAAGCAGTGGAAAATGTTGGCAATGAAGCATAAAACAGGGAACGATGTTTGTACTGGTACCCTGCACAATGGCGCCTGATATGGTAGCATACCGAGGTATCAATCAGAACACAAATGAAAACCGAAGCTGCGTATTATAGTGCAAAAATGCCCAGATCTTTCTGAAAATGTTCATTTGGTCTCCCTGGGTTTGTGCACCCACTGTGTTGCTGGGTCTCGCCACGGAGAAGGGCATTCTTTCTAAGAAACCTTTATCCAGCAAACGATCTCCATAAAAGATTGAGATCAGGAGAGGTGGCTGAGTTCATAAAACCATGATGTTGGGCAGGGCACCTCCTAAGGAATCAAAGTTCAGGGACTGTTGAAAATCAACTCTGCTGGACCAGAAACGTCCAGTTCTCTTCAAAACAGGGAGGCAACTTGGCAAGTTTCTCTACGGATTCTTAAGGAACCCCTCTTTGCAGAACTAGAAGTTAATGTTCATGCAGAGGCTTAGTCAAAACCTTATTTCTGCAGCTCTCCACTTATACAACTGAGTATCAGTTTCAACCAGGGAGGAATTAAATTCCAAACAAGGGTTGTTTTTACCAGTTGTATAACATAGTTGTGGGAAGCTTTGACGAGGACACTTTCAAAGTCACCGTAAAACATTTGGAAGGGGGGAAATAAAACTCTAGAGGAGCCTGCCAGGCGAATACCCACATAAGATTTGTACATGCTGTAGTCATCCCACATAAAGAAATGCCTAACTACTGGCATACCGCAGAGGGTCCAATATGTCACAAATTCTGAAGCGTACTGGATGGGTTACCCAGTGGAACAAGGAATTTAAGCTGGGATTTTCAAATAAGCCTGTGGGGCTTTCCAAGGGAGATGGGCACACAACTCCCTTAGGCCTGCTCTGTCGACATAGTTACACAAGTAAAACAGTGTGGGGGGAGGGCGGGGGAAAATTGTAACTATTTACTGAAATACTTACACTGGTATAGCTCCTAGTGTAGGCACAATTATACCAATATAAAGATGTCTTATTCTGGACTAGTTTATTCTCCTTCCCATACAGGAATAAGATATACCAGTATAAACGCATCCCACTAGGGGGCTTGTAGTGCTAGACTCGACCGGAATAGTTCAAGCAGTACAGCTAGTGTATAGACAGGGCCTTGGGCTCCTTTGACAATCCTAGTCTTAAAGAAATGTTACCCTGTTATAGACCAAGCACTGCAGTTCTTGAGCAATGACCAGCAATGTTTCATCGTTCCCGGGGGAAAGAAAACCATTTGCGTGTTGTTATAATTATAAGTGCCTTTGAAATTGTGACTTAAAGATTTAGGGGTGGGAAGAAGTGAAGTTACTAACGTCTCATGCGGTACTATATCGAGTGAGTGTGCTAGTGCTGAAGTATATTTCATCTTATGTAGGAGCCCTTTTACTATGGAAAACTTTGTGTACGTTTCTTCTGAAAATAAGTTTGCCATTTGCAGACCAGAAGGAGGAGGATGTTCTAATGATGCTCTTGTGAACAATAAGGAAATGTGCACTTTAATGGAAATCAGCCAGTCCACAATCATAATGGTTTTTAGACTATTCTTTGTAGGGCAGGTCCACACTGGGGCGGGGGATCGATCTAGGAAACGCAACGTCAGCTACGAGAATAGCGTAGCTGAAGTCGACGTTTCCTAGATCGAACTAAATTTACTTACTGCGGGTCCACGCGGCGCAGGCAGGCTCCCCCGTCGACAGTGCTTCCTCCTCTCGGCGAGCAGGAGTTCCGCAGTCGACGGGGGAGCGCTTCTGGGATCGATCTATCGCGTCCAGATGAGACGCGATAAATCGATCCCAGAAGATCGATCTCTACCCGCCAAATTGGGCGGGTAGTGTGGACCAGCTCTTAGTCTCTCTTTTTGTCCGTGTTGGGAAGGTACTTTGCTATTCTGGGAAAACTTACTGCAGGATGACTGCACCAGCTTACTCAGACCTAAGTCACCGAACTGCCCATTAAAAGCTATTCTCAAATTATCTCAAGCATGGATGGGTTCAGTTAAGGAGATGGCTCAACAGCACCACCTAGAGTCTTGGACTATCTGGTATGGATGATTGCTTCATGGATTTCCCTGTATCTCTAAGAATAAGTTAAACCCATCCATAAATATTAAATCTCATAGAAGGCTGTTTACAGTAACATGGGCTACATAATCATACCATTCCTTAGTGCTTCACAAAGTCCTATGGTAGAGAGAATGAATACCTCACAAGGGGAACTTGCTTTGATTCTGTAGCAATGTGTTGGTTCCAAACTGACTGACTCCCTCCCTCCCTACACTTCCTGTTCTGAAATCTCTAAATAGAAACTTGCCTATGGGACTACAGAGCATTAAAGCTTAGCAATTGTCATGGTTACTGCAGCAACCAATCCCTCTTAATTACGCTGTTTTTTTGTTTGTTCTGTCTTTCAGCTTTTGTCACAAATTCCCTGATGAACCCTATATGGATGGTGAAAACCAGAATGCAGCTGGAGCGGAAGTAAGCGACCAAGAGAAATTGGTGCCATCTTAGTTAAGAGGGGCTCCAAAACGCATATTCTTGCCCATTCCATCTATGGCTCTGGCATCGCTGATGCCTTTTCCTATTCCCTGTCCCATTCAACTCCCATACCCTTTGAGTCACCGTCCTGTTAGATGACCAGGGTACAGCTTAAGCCTATCAGTGTTGTATCTTAATTTGACAAGAGGGGTCACTACTGAGGAGGGGAAGGGTGGTCCAATTGGTGCTAACTTGGGACTCAAGACCCATGTTCAGTTCCCAGCTGTACCCCAGACTTCCTGTGTAGCCTTGGACAAGTCACTTAGTCTTTCTCTCTGCCTCAGTTCTCCATTTTCCCCACCTCACACACCGTGGTGGTGTTGAACCTAAATACATGAAAGATTGTGAGGCACGTGGATACTTTGGTAATGCGGGTCACACAAGTACCTAAATGAGAGACTCAGGCAGGGCTCAACGAGGGAAAGGTCAGGACTGAGCATCCAATCTGTGTCCCCTATATGACAATACAAGGCACTGACATGGGCTCTAAATCATACAGAAGTGGGTTTTATATTCTCTTAGGCTAGTTCAGTAATGCAGGACCCTCCATAACTGCCCGTTAACTACGTTCTGAACAATGTAAAGTTTTTTAAACTCCTATAATTGAAGCTGTTTAATTTCATAGAACAGTATAATGGCAATAAGAGTCGCCTTCAGGCGTTTAAAGTCCTTTGGCTCTCCTTCAATACCTTATTACTCCTAACCATATGTCCTAGAGAGAGAGAGAGGATAGTCTTAGGTAAAAATTGATAGTAAAATCTTTGAGCTGAATGATTCACAGTCACTAATGGATGTGAAAGCTATGAGGGATTATACCACAGCGAGAGCTGTGCTATAGTTAAGGTTACATTAATAATGTGACTCTTTAAAATAGACATTTTTTCCCCCTGGGAATATGTTGGGTGATAGATCAGAAAGATCCTTAAAATACCGAGATTACTCACCAAGAAGTATTTGAAAATATGTTGGTTTACACAGCTTATAAATTATTTAAAAAGCCTAACTCCAGTAAGTCACTAGGTGGCACCTTTGAACTAAATGCTGCTTGTTACCTGAAGAATCCTTCCACATACAGACCTTTGTCTCTGGCCCTGCCACAACCAGACAGGAAGGAAATTGCTAGTTCAATAAAAAGCAATGCTCCTTCCATAGTGCTGTTATTAAAGCACTAAACCAGTGGTCGACAACCTTTCAGAAGTGGTGTGCTGAGTCTTCATTTATTCACTCTAATTTAAGGTTTCGCGTGCCAGTAATACCTTTTAACGTTTTTAGAAGGTCTCTTTCTATAAGTCTATAATAGATAACTAAACTATTGTTGTGTGTAAAGTAAATAAGGTTTTTAAAATGTTTAAGAAGCTTCATTTAAAATTAAATTAAAATGCAGAGCCCCCCGGACCGGTGGCCAGGACTAGGGCAGTGTGCGTGCCACTGAAAATCAGCTCACGTGCTGCCTTTGGCACGCGTGCCATAGGTTGCCTACCCCTGCACTAAACTATGATGGGGAGCCAGGACTGGAGCTGGAAAGATTAGCACAAGCATGTATTAGCTGATTGGAAAAGCCAAATGTGCACATTTAGCATTACAGTCCTGCTACTGGCATTTGAAATGTGACTACAATGCCAAAAGCAATGAAAGGAACATTAAAAGTCTCTGCACGGCATTCCTAGAAAATTCCTGCCGCTACACTTATCAGAGAGCCATTCTTGTTTCTCCTGGGTCACTTTTCATTTGTAATGTCTGTGCAGTTTTTTTGAACCTCTGAGTTTTGCCTTGTTCTAACCCTGTTTTAATTTGCTCCCTTTAGAGTCAGGGGTTCAAAGCCGATGAATGCTTTGCAGTGTGCTAGATACGTTTACCAGACAGAAGGGGTCCGTGGTTTTTACAGAGGCTTGACGGCCTCCTATGCTGGGATTTCGGAGACCATTATCTGCTTTGCTATTTATGAAAGTTTAAAGAAGCACCTGAAGGATGTCCAGCTGCCCCCTTCCCCTACTAATGGGACCAAGAGGACCTCCACAAACTTTTTTGGACTGATGTTTGCTGCTGCTGTTTCTAAGGGCTGTGCCTCCTGTATTGCTTATCCGCATGGTATGTTAAACTCCTCATTTACCAGTGCAGTAGAACAGCTGTTGCCTTTAGTCTGTATCAATCTATGGCTGACAGTGCTGTAATATTCTTATTAATCTGGATGTCTACAGATGCCATGTTACTGCAGTGACTGTCTATGTACGCAGATCTTCAGCATTGTTCCCATTACCCCAAGCTAGCTAAACCGCTAATTGCTGAAGGAGGTTTGCTACAGAAAGCTAACTCTTCTCCCTCCCTCCCCGTTTCTCACTAGTGGCCTCATCCAGCTCCTCACAGGTCTTTGGAGCATGAGTGTGTTTGTTTCATTTGTATTACCTCCAGTCATTTATGCAGCACTCAAAGTGAGCTAAGTGTTTTACAGAACAAGTAGACTATTGTTTCTGTCCTGAAGAGATGCAACGAGAGAGAAAGGGCAGGGGAATGACAAGGTTGCGGCATTTTGGATTGTGTGTCATTATGGTTAAATTAGGTGCCCATCCTATCTCTTGTAGGCAGCTCAGCAGAGGGGTTTAGCAGGGATTTGGCCAAGCCATCACCCTCCCCTCAGACAATGAAAATTGATGGGCATTCCACACAGAAGGGGTAGCATGGAGAAAGATGCTGAAGTGAGAGATGGAAACAGGGCAATGAGGCTGGCTCTAAAATGCCAATGATTCTCTTTTCCTTATCCAGCAGTATTTCTTTACTCCGCTGTATGCTGTGCTTTATGGAAAAATCAGTCTGATTCCCGGCACATCTCTCTCTGCCAACTTCTCTCCTTCCTTTTAAAATCAAAGCCCTAGATACTGGCTGTTAACATGGCTTGAATTCTTAGTCTGATACCCTTAGATGCTACCATGAAAATGCCACTCTGGGCTTTTATCTCATTCTCGGCACTAACTTTTAGGCAACAGATCACATCACAAATGGAAAAGAGCCGGGGGAGAAAAGACCATGAAATCCAATTCACCAAACCCTTGACTAATTCTATTCCAGGCCTTTCTCTTCCTTTTTAAATTGTCCTCAGTACCTTGTTTAATGGATGCAGCTACATACAGATTTCATATTGCCATCAATGTTCTGAATCTATAAGAAGCCTTTCTCTACCATAGCTCTCCAGACAGATTATATGAGGCCAGTTTTTCATTGCAACTGTACAGAAACTGTTTTTGACTTCCATCATACCTGAACAGTATATAAATTAATGTGCAGATGAGTCAGGTAAGAAAAAAATCGAGGGTGACTTGGCCAAAGAGAGCCTGCCTTTTGGAGAAGGCGTGTTTTGATTGATACAAATTACAAGTGGCTCCTAAGGCAGTAGGTGCCGCTGCCATAAAGCTAAACAGCCCACACACCATGCAGATCCTTCCCCCACAAATCTGATTCCTCTCCAAAGCCGCCCACACAAATTGATGCACCTTGCAAGATGTTCTGAAGTTCAATGGACCCCAGCTATTTTGGAGCAGAGGAGGAAGCTTGTTTCAGAGCTCCAGGCCCCTCACAAAGCACTGTACTGCAAGCCACCTCTCGTGTTCAGTCAGTTGGAATCCAGCCCAAGTGCATCTGTTGATCCCAGCTATGGCCTTGAACACCACCCTAGCTGTGCCAAATCAAAAGTGGCTTCCCTCCGTTTCATGGTAAATGCCACCAAGCCCCAGCTCGCCCCATACGCCAGTTTGAGGAGAGCACAGACCTACTGAACGGTGCCCCCTCTTTCCAAAGCACCGTGTGAGGAATGTGAGCAGCAACCGAGGAGGTGGTCAGCGGAGTAACAGCCCCCATAAGCAAGCCATCCATTTATTGTGCAGTTTGGTGTTTACACGGAAGTGGAAAACCAATTTTAACCGCCTGCCTTGCCTGGCAAGCAGTGCCTGCGACTCCAGGGTTTGTAAGTGTAGGTGAGCGGATTATCCAGCAGGAATCTCCCTTGTCCAGGGTAAGGTTCTGATTGCCCTGAGCTATGCAGGCTCTTTCCTAACCTGTAAGTGTTTCTGGGCTGGGGGATTTGACTGGAGAGGCTAACCTAGTGCTCTGTTTGTTTCCCCCCCTCCCTCCAGAGGTCATACGGACAAGACTGCGAGAGGAAGGCACAAAATACAAGACTTTCTTTCAGACGGCTCGTCTGGTAGCACGTGAGGAAGGCTACCTGGCTTTCTATAGAGGACTCTTTGCGCAGCTCATCAGGCAGATACCAAACACAGCCATTGTGTTGTCCACCTATGAGCTAATTGTGTACCTGTTGGAAGACCACACTAAGTAGCAGAGCCAGGGAGCATCCTCTGGAAAATAAAAACTGACATTGAGCAAATAGTCATTAAGAGACTGATACAGGTGATGAAGATGGAGAATAGCTATGAGTCTCTGATCACCTGCTGGACACTTTTCCTTTTGGATTCATGCTTTCTGGAAGGTTTCAACTCATTAACGTTAATAGTTAATTATAACTTTTTAACTTAAGGAGAGATGATTCAGAATTAAACTGCTACTAAATTAAATCATGCTATTTAATTTGTATGTTTTGGTTGTCCTTTTCTTTAAGCACAGGTATATGTGGCATATATGTACCTGTGCTATTGAGATGTTTCTTGGATTGATAGTCATTAAAACTGTATTGAAGTGGGAGAGGAACTGGTTTGGAGTCTGAAACTGAGATCTCCTACTACTGGTGTCACAAAATATCATTTTCCAGAAGTATTGAGTCCTAAGACCTTTCAGTGTGCTTCGTGGCTGATTCATGGGTGTAATATTCATCACCCATGTGAGCTTTCAGAATGGGGTACTGAGCACAGTGAGGCAGCTTTGTAACACGCAACTTGACGGGTATAAAATGTTCATGCCGGAATCTCCTGGATGAGCCACTGTATTGGAAGACATTCCTGCAAAGGTTAAGCAAAATAGCTTCCCTGAGAGAAACTTAAACTATACGTGGGAGGGCACCTAATTGAATGTTTGCATCATTTAAGTCTTCTCTAATCTATTACTTTCCTCATCTCCAGTGGTGACATCTTCTTTTCTGAATGGCCTGGGGGAAATCAGTACAAATTCTTCAAGGTATGAAGCCAACTCTAGAGCTCCGCTTTCTGGTGCAATATTTAGGAGTTAAACTGTTTTAATTGGTCATCAATAATTATTAATCTGACTTGCCCCTGAGGAACAGCAACTTGGTGATTGGAATGCAGTCATGCACATCTTACCTCCTGATAACTCTTGCTACCTCACTGGGCTAAGTAAAAACCATATAAAGCTATGTAATGAGACTTAAGGAAATAATTTATAAAGTTAAAAATGGAGAGATACAGATCTCCTACTCCAGTACAACCTATTGGACTGTTCTCACCCCACTTCATGTAGGTTCAGTAATCTCATGTGCTCCAAAGAGACCAGATTGAATGGTTCCTCCCCCACCACTTTGGTCATCTTTCACCACTAGTCAATGACATAGCTTCTGCCTCTCAATTTTAAATTACACATCGTGCATTAGCTCTAATCCTTTCATGGGGCTATTGAAATGTGCTTATACTTAAGCAGTCATTTATATTGTTGTAGCACCCAGGTGGCCTAGATATCACTGTCCAGGTATAATTGCTGGGTGTTTCTGGATAATTTTGGGGGGATTTAAAGGGTTATATTTGGTTTTGCCTTTTGGACTGGCCACTATGTTCTTGTACCCATTAGTGTAATTTGCTTTGACAGCTGAGACAAATGCTGCAGTGCAAGACAGATGATCTTCTGTCTTTTCTACAGCTGAACTGAACAACTGAGCTGCTCGTGACTTCAGCAGGTGTTGAATTCTTGGGCATATACCAGTGTTTACTTCTCTAACTTCACCAAGAAGCAAACTCAGACTTGGGAGGGTGTTACAAATTGTTAGGAAAAAGCCCATGAGTGAGGCTAGGGCTCTAGAATCCTGTCTGCTTGTAAAAAGCTAATGAGAATAAGCATGATGGTTAGAAATGTGATTACTGACCCACTCTGTGTCTGTAACAAAATGCCAGTCTGGATGCTAACAATTAAGCCCCCATTGAGGACAATTGCGGAGGTAGGAGGAAAGTGAAGCATATGTACCCTACAGATGACGCCCAATGTAACTATAGAAGAATTTATTAAATCCTGCAGAGGCTCATTGGAAAGGAGAGAATGTAACATTTGTTTGAATTTAAAATAAAACAAATTGAAAGAGTTGAATAAACTAGAAATTGTTAAAGGACTCTTACAATAGTTTTGCTTCTTGTCTCTCTCTTTAAAACCTTTGTGGGAATCAAAACTGTCAGTTCTGAAACCAAAAGATTTTTGCTGCTTATTCCTCCCAAACTGGAATCTAAGATCTGCTTCCTTAAACTGTTCCGGGTTTTTCATGTACATTGGCTCACTTTTACAGCATTAGTCAAGTGTCTGGGCTGCTGGTGCCTCCCTTTTAGAAAAAGGGAAATTAGTGGTTTGCTTGAAAGGCTCAAAACTTGAGATTACAAAAAGGGTTTTTTTAACTATCTAAGCCTGTTCAATAAGGTGTTTTGGGTTTTTTTACTAATGACCCTGGCAAATAATTTGATGGGGATTGAACATACTATATTGACAGCTGTTGGAAGATCAATTCAAGTTTAAATTATTCCCTCCTCTTTACACTAAAATCCAAAAAGTTCAATAAAAGTCTAAGGCCCTAATCCTGTAAAGATTTATACACATTTAACATCACGCTTTGTGAGTAGTCTCTCACTGAGGTCTGCTTCTGTAAGTCTAACTCCATTATCGGAGGGAAGGACTGGAAATAGTTCAAGGGACATCCACGTTAAAATACCCTAAAAAGGCGCAGGGGATTCCTTTTTTTGTGGAGATGTTTACTATGTTTTTTTCACAATTGATGCGGTCTTAATTTTTAAAAATTCATTCTGTTTCGGCAATGAAAATATACTAGTCCATGTCACTTGTGTTTCAGTTCCAGGTTCTTGCTTCCTAGCACCATGTTGCAAATACTGGGTAATATCCTGGCCCCACTGAAGTCAGTGGCAAAACTCCCATTGACAACAGTGAGGCCAGGATTTCACCCATTGTAGGAGAATGGTTAAAACAAGCTGTACAGGGGTTCAGGATGCCAGTTCCTGTAAGTCTAATTTTTGTGGTAGCTCTGATGGAACTGACAGGGACTGTTGGGATCTGGGGGTCCAGCTACAGGTGAGAGGATGGACCATGGCTCCTCACAAGGCTGTTGGCATGAGTGGTTATATATTACGGTAGTGCCTAGAGGAAGTGGTCAGTCTTCATTTGTCATTTCTTTTTCCTCCTCTGAAAAGTAGTGGATTTCCTCCAACTTTGAAGATTTTTAGTCTTTATTCACTCCATTCTCTATTCCCCTTTTCTTTTATGTTCTGCCTTATCCCCATCTGTCTTTGGGGTCCTGCTTCATATCGCTTCTCGGCTCTCTATGAGCTGAGGGGTGAAAACATTAGTACTCACATGGAAGCAGCCTTGCTTCATAATTATGAAGCAGGAATGTATCTCTTGTACAGTTGAAGAAAAAGGAGGCAGAAATTATAAGTGACTTGACCAATGCCAGAAGGAGGGAGTGTGTCAGAGCTACGATTAGAATACGGGTGTCTCAGCCAAATTTTTTTGATTGTCCATTGGTTCTGGGTGCCCAGTTTTTGAAACAGCTTGGTCTTTGGTTTTCAAAATTGCTCACACCTGGAATTTCATTTGATGTCTGTGGGAACTGTGGGTACTTAGCACCTCTGGAAAATTAGGCCAAATATGGGTGTCCAGAAGTTGAGAAACATAAAACTAGTGCCCGTTTCTTAAAAGCAGCCCCTCTTGTCTATCCTAGGCTGCACCTCTCTATTGAACTGACCCTCTTTATAGCCAAAGGCACAACATTTGCTCAGCCAAAGAGCTGCCCTACTTACAGCCAGCCAGAAGCAGCAGCCCAGGTGCCACTTGCCTTTCACAGCCGTAAACTGGGCTGAGGTACTGTGACAGAGTCCTGGGCAATAGCACCTATTGAGTTTGGGGGGAAGGAAACAAACCTGCCTGTATCAGAAGGCCCCTCCCCCAGCCCAAGAGGAGGAAGCACTAAATCCAGGGTTCAAGTAAAGGCAGGGGACAACGGATGATGAAACAGGGTCACAAGGTCAAAAGCAGGGAGCCAGAGGGGTGCTGGGAAATAGTATCTGAGCCAGCACTCTGGTCACTGCTGCTCTAATCACTGACTCCCGAGCAGACCTCATTAAGAGGAGCTGTGCCTAACTGAACGGGCTGAGGATTGAGAGACTAATCAGGCCATTAGGCAGATGGTACAAAAGGCACAGGAAGAAAGTGGAATGGGAGAGACTGTTCTTCCCTGCTCGCCTTCGGAGCTGAGGGCTCCATAGGACTGGAGGGAGGATATAGAGGTGGTGCAGACGAATATTGTAAATAAACTGCACTGTGGGTGTTTTACCTGAAAAAAGTCTCTGAACTGTGTGTGAACTTGAGCAAGGCAGGGGAGAGAGAGGGCCCTGCCACACATGGGGGCTTGTCTGGGATCTTAGCCAGCAGGAAGGTTTGGCAGCCTGGATGATGGAGGAGACCCTGCAATTGCTGGTAAAACAGCAAGAAGAAACTGAGAAGACCCTGCGAAGTTTCCAACAATCCTATCACATGGAGAGGCAGGCCTCACAGCAGAAAAGCTTGCAGGATTTCATAAGAGAACAAGCCAACATGTAGCAGCAGCTCCTACAGAAAGTGGTGAGTCCTATGATGGGGGATGGTAACCAGACACAGGGCCTATGTAAGATGGGCCCTGCTGATGATCCTGATGCATTCTGGGCACTTTTGAGAGGGTAGCTATGGGTGCAGGTTAGAATAGGGAGCCAGCCTCAGGGCCCAGGTTCCCCTATCTGTGGGGGAAGCCCCAGTGGCCTATATGGCTCTGAATGAGGCTCAGGCCGGGAATTACAAGGCAGTGAGGGCAGCCATCTTGGAGCAGGTCGGGCTGTCCACTGAAAAGTGCCACCGAAAGTTCTGATCTGCAAGGCGGGCTGGGGGTTTATGGTCCTGGGCATTCACCCAAAGGCAGACTGACTGGGTCATCTGCTGGCTGAGACCATACACCCAAACTGTGGGGGAAATAATGGGAGCTCTGGTGCTAGAAGAGTTCCTTCAGGGCCTTCCTGAGAACATACGAGTGTGGGTCAGGAAACATCTACCAGGTTTGATGGATTCCGCCGTGATATTAACTGAGGAATGCACAGAGGTGGACTTTCCTAGGAAAGAAGGACAACCATATAGGGGTCTGGAGCATGGGAGGCAGACCAGAGACCCTCAGCAGGAATGGAAGAGAGACAGATGACGGGGACACACAAAGGGATTGCCTGTACATGGACTGTGGTTTGGTGAGTTTTGTAGCTGGGCCGGAACTAGAGAGAAGCAATGGACAAACTGTCTACACTTCAGTTATGGTGGGGAGGAAACTCAGGAGGGGCCTTGTGGATACAGCCTCAGCTTGCTCTCTGGTCTGGAGGGACCTGGTGAAGTCTCGCTGGATGATTCTGGGACAGTGGTTCTCAAACTTTTGTACTGGTGACCCCTTTCACATAGCAAGCCTCTGAATACGACCCCCCCTTATCAATTAAAAACACTTTTTAAAATCTATTTAACACCATTATAAATGCTGCAGGCGAAGCGGGTTTTGGGGTGGAGGCTAACAGCTCATGACGCCCCATGTAATAACCTCACAACCCCCTGAGCAGTCCCGCCCCCCAGTTTGAGAACCCCTGTTCTAGGAGCAACTATGAATATAGTGAGTCCATGAGGATAAGAGGTGCTGCCCTATGGCCTAGGTGTTTTGTTGGAAACAGGTCGAGGTAGTGGACAGGCTGCCCTATCCGGTTGTATTGGGCACTGACTGGAACCCCTTCCCAATAGGGAAACAAGGCGGTATAGGGAATCCCAGGATGGGGAAAAGGAAGCCAGAGGGGAGAGAAAAGAGAATGAGCCCGAAGGAGAAGCCATAGAAGCCTCTAGACAATAAAGCCTAAGTCAGAAGGAAAGGAGAGACCTTTGGGAAACTGAGGTTGCGGGGATAGGAATTGAGGAAGGAGGTATAGGGGAAATAGCCCAAACTCCTTAGTAGAGGTTGGGGGACCTATGAAGTCACCTGCCACACAGCCCCAAGGAGAAAAAACCCAGGCATAGTTTTGAGGGTTAGGAGAACCCGAGGCCCTGAGTGATCAGGGGGATAAAGGGAGTAACCTTGATCCACTGCCAGATACAAAGGGAGAGAATCTTGTGAGCAATTCCCCCAAGTGCCCACGGTGTGAAGACTTGTGGGCTGAGCCTGAGCTGTGGGGGTATCCTCCTCCCCTGAAGTGTGATTTCTGTGGGTGGAGACTGACCAGACTCCACAAGGGTGACCCAGATGATCACCCAAGGGATAGAGACACTCCACAGGGAGGCACCTCCGGTAAGGGATGGAGAGTGGTGGTGGTGGGGGGGAAGACAGACTGCTGGGTACAGCAGCTCTAATTCATTACTCCAGAGCAGACCTCATTAAGAAGAGCTGTGCCAAACTGATGGGCTGAGGAGAACTGAGAGGCTAATTAGGCAGATGGTACAAAAGGCACAAGAAGGAAAGAAAGCGCTTTTCCCTGCTTGCCCCAGGAGCTGAAGGTTCTCCAGGACTGTTGGCGTTATGGTACAGTATAGAGTATATGGGTAGTGGAAACTAATATTGTAAATACACTGCACCTGGTGTTTGACCAGGAAATAGGTCTCTGAGGTATATGTGGAGTTGAGGAGAAGCAGGAGCGATGGGTCCCTGCCCCAGTTACTCTTCAATAAAATTACTGGCTCCAGCCATTCACTCTGAAAGTCAGTGCTCAGCTGCTGTAGAAGAGACCTATAACTAACCTGCATTTGTCAAGCAAAACTAGCATGCTTTCATGTCCTTTTTCTCTCCAAGACCAGAAACTTACTGAAGATTTACCTTGCCAGACTGAAAACCGGAGGGGGCTGCACCTCTGGGCCTTTCCACTGTTTACAAGCCCCAGGCTCGTAGCCAAGATGTAAAATTTCCCATCAGGAAAGGAAACGGGGTCACTCTTCAGTCCAAGCTGAGGGCAATGCACAGAATTAGCCCATGCAAGCCGCAGTCTGGATCTTCAGCGTTCTCTGACTTTCACTCACCTAACATCTGCAACCCAGGTAGGGAAACGGGTTTGACGTTGAGCCGGGTTGTCACGCCGGCCGTCCCTGTAAGTAACACAACGTTCTTCGCCGCCTCCCTTGCTCCGCACGATCTTAACCTTTCACCACCCGCCTCTCCCACTGTACCCTCCCCGTGCGTGGAATGACCCCAATCCGTGCTGCTCTCTGACCGCTCCCCTCCTCTTCCTCCTGCCATGCCAGCCGCTGCGCGCTTGAATCACACACACGCCGCCTTCTTCCCCCCCCCGATTCACAGCCCCTCCTGGCACGACATTGGCCTTTCACGCTGCATCCTCCACTCCTCCGCCCTCCTCCGCGTTCCAGCCCGGCCAGCCGCTGCAGACGCAGGAGCCGGGGGGCCTCCTCCGACGCATGAGTCACTTTCATGCTTCCCCCTCCGCGATTCCCCACCCGCCCCCTCTGCCCGGCGCTGATTGGCGGAGCGGCGGGTGCGCTGCGGTGTGGCGGGGCGGCCGGCGGCGCTTACAAAGCGCGGCGGCGAAGGTCGCAGGCGGAGGATTGGCTGGCGAGGGAGCGCGTGGAGGTCCGGGCGCGTTCTACGCGCGGCTACTCCGCGTTCGGAGCGGGCGGGCCAGCGTTCCACGGGCCGCTCCCGAGCGTTCCACGGGCCGCTCCGGCAATGCAGGCCGTCGGCGCGGCCGGGGGGCTGGGGGTCACCGTCTGCGCTGCCGCCGGGCTGCTGCTCTACAAGATCGCGCGGAGGTAAGGGGCGGCCTCTTCTTCTGCCGCATGCGCTCGGGGCGCGGGAACCGGAACCGAGCCGGCCCGCTTGCCGCCGGGCTCCTCCAGTAGACGCGCTGCCGGGAGGAGGCGCGCTCCGCCGGGGAGCGGGGCTTTCCCTGCTTCCTCGCTTTCCCCCCCCCCATGCGGGCTCCCTTTGTACGGAGGCGGCGATGGGTGCCTGGGTCCTGCTGCTGCCGCCGCGGGAGACGGGGTGCCCTGCCGCGGGAGACGGGGTGCCCTGCCTCGGGGACGCACGCTGGCTGCGGTCGAAGGGGAATCCCCTAGCGGGGGGAAGCGGGGACTTGGATCCCGGGCGCTGCCGCCGCCGCGGCGGATGGCGCTCGCGGGGTTCTGTGCGGCATTGCCGCTGCCGGCTGGCCGGGCTGTAGGAGCCGGGCAGGAGGGGGGACGACACGTGGAGGGGACTGTGGTTGCCATGTGGGTGACTCCATAGGGGGGTGGAGCAGGGCTAGCTGAAGGAGAGAGAATACAGGGGTAGGAAGCCCGGAGCCCTCTGCGAAACAAGGGAGGAGACGTAGCTCTCCCCCGAGCTTGTCACTGAAGCACAGGCAGCAAAAGAGGGGTTAGGCACCGTGAAGAGTAGACCCCGGCCTCTGAGAGCTTTGGCACAGAGCACGGGTGGAGTAGGAAGGGCGGATAATGGATGCTCAAGCTCACGAGGAATAGGCGGGACCTAGAGCAGGCAGTCCATAAACCGTCGGAGCTGTGCTGTTTGGGTGCCATGGCCCTGCCTGATCCCCTAGGGATTTAGGTTCTAAGGAGGCTTGGAAGGGTTAAATTTTTATCAGCAAATGGCTATAAAGGTCAGTTTCACCGTAAACCGTGGGGAAAAAAAATATTTCCCTGGATTATCAGCACTTACTGCTAAGAAAAATGCTGCTTCATCACTTCTTAGTTTGATGTAAGGCTCCTTGCTTTGTATATTTTGACACGATGTTGACAACTTGTGTTTTAACAGTTATAAAGCTTTGAAATGCCAAAAGTAGTTATGTCTCTTGCCGTTAGATAATTAGTGTCTGAGCCCCCCCCCCATTCATTTTCCACAACTGTAAAAATTAATAAATTGATAAAAGTTGAAAAAATGCTTAAAAATTGGTGTTTGTCAAAATTATTTTGAAAAAATAAAATTCTGGCAAGTCTAGTTATAAGTGCTTTGTGGCAAACGCTGTGTCTTTATGTGATTGTTCAGTGCCAAGCACAATGGTGCCTCAGTTGCTCCTGGGAATTTTGGGTGTTCTGGTACAAACGTGTATGGTAAAATATGTAGAATGGGTAAGAGTGTAACTGACAATGGCATTTCTGTCTGTGTTGATTTCTTCCATAATTTCAGTATCTGTCTAGGAAACAAAATTCCAAAATGGGCAAAAATTTGAGCTGTATGGGAGCAGTTATTTGTAGGGGGCTAGCCGGATACATTTTTTTTCCCATCCCCAAAGCTATTTCCTGTCTTTGTGTTCCATAACTGAACACCAAGCACTTGGCTATTGTAGGAGATACGTAAATTCATAAAATCTAAAGTGTCTTCCCATCCTTCAGTAGATATTTTGATGGCTGGCATTTTTTGTTAACTATATTACAATAAGTTATTTACCTAAGTCTCATGGCAGCTCTACACTTAAAAGCTGCAGCTACACAGTGCTTAAGGCCTAATCTATACTAGAAGTGCTACATCTGCGCACCTGCACCGATACAGCTGCTCCACTGCAATGCATCTGGTGAAGATGCTCTATGCTGATGGGAGAGAGTTCTCCCGTTGCCATAGCTACCACCACTCATGGAGGTGGATTTAATATGTCGGCTGGAGAAGCTCTCCTGCTGACATTGTACTGTCCACACCGGTGCTTACGTGGGTGTAATTTATGTTGCTCCAGAGGGTGGCTTATTTGCACCCCTGAGCAATGTAATTTACTCCTGGTGGAATTCTGTGCCAAAAAATTCTGAACACAATATTTTAACATTCTCCATGTTTTATTTGTCAAAATAACACAATATAATCACTCCAGTTTCAATTAATTTGATGATTTATTTCAAACTACCTGTCAGTAAGTATGTCTGTAACAATACAGACAACAACAAAAGATTTCCCCATGAGTAGAGAATTAAAGAAACCCCTATGCTTTTGTTGAGTGCCTCACTCTGGGTGTGTCACGCATGCCAGCTGGGCACAGCTTGGGGGGGAAAAACTCTGCCCCTCCGATCTCTTAGTTGATTCTCATTTTTTAGCCCCACCCCCTAGAGTTGCCATATTTCAAGTTCCTAAATAGAGGATAATGGCAGGGGTAGGGGCAGTTGGAAGGGAGGGTATAGTTGGGGAGTGCTGTAGAGGGTATTTGGGGCATGCTGGAGGGGTATGTACAGTGGGAGGGTCCAGCAGCTCTACAGCACCTATTCTGCGGGATAAAATAAAATTCTACACAGAACATTAATTCTGCACAAATTCTGCATTGCGCATTGGTGCAGAATTCCCCCAGGAGTATAAATTATACCGAAGTGAGTGGTAGTGTAGACCTGGCCTTAGTGAAGACACTACTATGCTGACGGGAGAGCTCCCGTTGGCATAGTTAATCCACCTCTGCGAGAGGCGGTAGCTATGTCAATTGGAGAAACTCTCCCATGTCATAGCACTATCTGCACTGGGTGTGTTAAGTCAGTGTGTTGCTCAGGGGTGTGGATTTTTCACCCTCCCCCCCCCCCCCCCCCCCCCCGAGTGACCTACTTATACCAAAGTAAGTTTGTAGTGTAGACTTGGCCTCAGGCTTTGATATTTTCTTTCTGGCTCCAATATTATTATTTTTTTTTTTAAAGCAGATGAACAGTGCATTATAATGGGGGAGGCGAGAGATACTTGCTTATTTTGCAGACTTGTTTGGTTGACTTGCAGGGGGCGCGGTGTGTGTATAAGTGCAATGTAACAGTATCCCACTAGGGAAAGCAATGCCAAGATGGTACACTCATGCCATATAGTGGTGCAATATAGCAACTCAGAAAGATAAGCAGGGGTTAATGTTGCTATTTAGGCTTTGGTTATTTCTGGTGATTCCTGCTGAATCGAATGGAGTTGTACTGGCCTAAGGAAGCTTTAAAACCTTGTATAAGCTTCTATTTGTTGTCTTTTCCCCTTTTTCAGGCTCATTCCTTGCGTTGTTTTTTATAGCCTCGTGTATCTGGGGAGGAGTCAGGATTTGTATTGCACACAGGGAGCTGAGTTGAATTTGAAAAGTTTAGAACTAGCATAACTTGAAACCAGTGTTTGAGATGTGCTTTTTGTGTAACAGAGCAAGCTTGGGCAGTCCTGTCACCCATAAAGTGCTTCACTGGAGTAGGAGACGGCCCCATGACCAGTGTAAGGTTCATTTACAGTTTGAAGTTTCAAATGGAAATAAGGCACCTACAGCAGAATAGTTCAGGTTTATCCTAAAACACGTAGGCTTTATATAAATGAACAAATAGGACAACAATCAGCGTTTCCCCTATGTACAGGACCTGACGTTTCCATTTGATATTAAGGTTAGATAAGAAACTGATGGCCTGCAGCTATCTTCCAAGAAATAAGCCATGCTTCCATGACCGTTCTTGGTGCTGATTTAGCCAAAGTGCCCCTTGAGGCAGTGGAATGACTTTGCTTTGCTTAAGTGGCTCAGGTGGAATGTGTTTGTGGAATCCAGAGAATCATAGCTTTTTTTTTTGAGCCTCTTCTGTACAGGGAAATTATCCATGTTCTGAAAACATTCTCAGGGATTGGTCTTCATAACTGTTTGGGGGTAACATAGCTGTGCTGAGCACTGCTGGGATGAAGTACTGTAAAAACCTATTCCACCAGCGCTTCCCAGTCTCATATACTTACTAACAGCACCCCCGCAAAGGAATGATGGGGTGGCAGCAACGCCTCTCTGCAGAATTCTCTACTGGGCTGGGGGCCTGGAACAATACCTGGAAGAAGTGTGAATTGTCCCATATAAATTAATGGGTTGTCAACTCTGAAATCCCTGCTGCTAATGGCCCCCGCAGGGCAGCCTGGGTTTCTGAGTGACCCCATCCCAGTCTGCAGACCTAGGTTACACTCAGGTCACATGTCTACACTTGCTCTGCCTGCAGCAGGAAACAGGTTCCTAGCTGCAGTGTAGACATCAGTTTCTGGTCAAGTTTCCATTGATGAAGGACAGTTTTTCAAGTAATTTCAATTCTCGCTGGGAGTAGGAGGGGTTGATGTAGAGGGGGTACTCAGGGAGACT